GTGAGTAAACCCCAGACACTGATGCCTAATGTCCTTTAGTTCATTACTGGTAGAAGAAGAAAGACTTTTTTTTTTGACAGGCAGAGTGGACAGTGAGAGAGAGAGACAGAGAGAAAGGTCTTCCTTTGCTGTTGGTTCACCCTCCAATGGCCGCCACAGCTGGTGCGCTGCAGCCGGTGGCAGGAGCCAGGTGCTTCTCCTGGTCTCCCATGGGGTGCAGGGCCCAAGCACTTGGGCCATCCTCCACTGCACTCCCTGGCCACAGCAGAGAGCTGGCCTGGAAGAGGGGCAACCGGGACAGAATCCAGCACCCTGACCGGGACTAGAACCCGGGGTGCCAGCGCCGCAGGTGGAGGATTAGCCTAGTGAGCCAGAAGAAAGTGAGCAGAAGAAAGACTTTCAATAAAAAAAAAGAAGATACAACAGCGAAAGAGAACTATAGACCAATTTCCCTGATGAACATACACTCAAAAATTCTCAACAAAATACTAGCAAATAGAATCCAACAACACATCAGAAAGATAATTCACCTGGACCAAGTGGGATTTATCCCTGATATTCAGGTATGGCTCAACATTCACAAATTAATAAATGTGATACATCACATTAACAAACTGAAGAACAAAAACAATATGATTATCTCAATAGATGCAGCGAAAGCATTTGATAAAATATAACATCCTTTCATGATGCAAACTTTAAGCAAAATGGGTATAGAAGGAACATTCCCCAAGACAATCAAGGCAATCTGTGACAAACCCACAGCCAGCATCTTATTGCATGGGGAAAAGTTGGAAATTTTCCCACTAAGATCCAGAACCAGACATGGATACCCACTCTCACCATTACAATTCAACATAGCCATGGAAGTTTTAGCCAGAGCCATTAGGCATAAAAAGAGAGAAAGGAAAGAAGGAAGGAAGAAAGGAGGGAAGGGGGGGGAGGGAGGGAGGGAGGGAAATCAAAGGGATACAAATTGGAAAGGAGGAAGTCAAACTATCCCTATTTGCAGATTACATGATTCTATATACAGTGAATCCAAAAGACTCCACTAGAAGACTAGTGGAACTCAAAAAAGACTTTGGTAAAGTGGCAGGATATGAAATTAACACACAAAAATCAATAGTCTTTGGATATACAGACAATGCCATGGCTGAAAAAGAACTTCTAAGATCAATATCATTCATAATAGCTACAAAACAACTAAATACCTTGGAATAAATTTAACCAAAATGTCAATGAAAGTTACAAAACCTGGGCCGGTGCTGTGCTGTAGTAGGTTAAGCCTCCGGCTGCAGTGCTGGTATCACAGATGGACACCTGCTTGTGTCCCTGCTGCTCCTTTTCCAATCCAGCTTTCTCCTAATGGCCTGGGAAAACAATGGAAGATGGCTCAAGTCCATGGGCCACTGCATCCATGTGGGAGACCTGGAAGAGGTTCCAGGTTTCTGGCTTCGGATTGACCCAGCTCTGGCCATTGAGGCCATTTGGGGAGTGAACCAGTGGATAGGAGACTCTGTCTCTTCCTCTCTCTGTAACTCTACCTCTCAAATAAATAATCTTTAAAAAAATAAAATTACAAGGGCTGGTGCTGTGGTGCAGTGACTTAATGCCCTGGCCTGAAGCACCAGCATCCCATATGGGTGCCAGTTTGAGGCCCCGCTGCTCCACTTCCCATCCAGTTCTCTGCTATGGCTTGGGAAAGCAGTAGAGGTTGGCCCAAGTCCTTGGGCCCCTGTACCTGCATGGAGACCCAGAAGAAGCTCCTGGCTCCTGGCTTCAGATCAGTGTAGCTCTGGCTATTGTGGCCAATTGGGGAATGAACCATTGGATGGAAGACTCTCTCTCTCTCTCTCTCTCTCTCTCTCTCTCTCTCTCTCTCTGCCTCTCCTCTCTATATAACTCTGGCTTTCAAATAAATAAATAAATCTTTAAAAAATAAATAAATAAATAAAATTACAAAACATTAAAGAAAGTAGAAGACACCAAAAAAAGGGAAAAATCTTCTATGATCACGGATTGGAAGAATCAATATCATCAAAATGCCCATAGCAATCAAAAGCAATTTACAGATTCAATGTGATCCCAATCAAAATACCAAGGACATTTTTCTCAGATATTAAAAAAATGATGCTAAAATTTATAGGGAAACATGGGAGACCCCAAATAGCTAAAGCAATATTTTACAACAAAAACATAATCTAGAGGAATCACAATATCTGATTTAAAGATATACTACAGAGCACTTATAATAAAAACAGTCTTGTACTGATAAAAAAAAATGTGTAGACCAATGGAATTAAATAGAGACTCCAGAGGTCAATCCATACATCTACAACCAACTTATATTTGACAAAGGAGCTAAAATTAATACCTGGAGCAGGGAGAGCCTCTTCAACAAATAGTTCTGGGAAAACTGGATCTCTACATGCAGAAGTATGAAGCAAGACCCCTATCTTTTTTTAATTTATATATATATTTTTTGACAGGCAGAGTGGACAGTGAGAGAGAGAGACAGAGAGAAAGGTCTTCCTTTGCCATTGGTTCACCCTCCAATGGCCACCGTGGCCGGCGCGCCGTGCTGATCCGATGGCAGGAGCCAGGTACTTATCCTGGTCTCCCACTGGGGTGCAGGGCCCAAGGACTTGGGCCATCCTCCACTGCACTCCCGGGCCATAGCAGAGAGCTGGCCTAGAAGAGGGGCAACCGGGACAGAATCCAGCACCCTGACTGGGACTAGAACCCTGTGTGCTGGTGCCGCAAGGCGGAGGATTAGCCTATTGAGCCACGGCGCCAGCCCCCTATCTTATATATTACGCAAAAATCCACTCAAAATGTATCAAAGACCTAAATCTATGACCCAATAAAATCAAATCACTAGAAAACATTGGAGAAACCCTGCAAGACATTGGCATAGGCAAAGACTTCTGGGAAAAGACCCCAGAAGCACAGGCAGTCAAAGCCAAAATTGACAAATTGATTACATCAAGCTGAGAAGCTTCTGCACTGTAAAAGAAGCAATCAACAAAGTGAAGAAGCAAATGAGAGAATGACTGGGAGAAAATATTTTCAAATTATGAAACTGATAAAAAGTTAATTTCCAGAATGTATAAAGAGCTCAAGAAACTCAACAGCAACAAAACAATCCAGTTAAGAAATGGACAAAGGAGTTGAATATATACTTTTCCAAAGAAGAAATGCAAATGGCCAACAAACACATGAAAAAATGCTCAGAATCACTAGCCATCAGGGAAATGCAAATCAAAACCACAATGAGGGGGCCCAGTGCTGTGGCATAGCAGTTAAGGCCGCCACCTGCAATGCAGCTTCTCATATGGGCAGCAATTCAGGTCCCTGCTACTCCACTTCTGATCCAGTTCTCTGACATGGCCTGGGAAAGCAGTAGAAGATGGCCTGTGTCCTTGGGCCCCTGTACATGCATGGGAGACACAAAGGAAACTCCTGATTCCTGGCTTCACATTCGCACAACTCTGGCCATTGCGGCTATCTGGGGAGTGAACCCGCAGATGGAAGACTCTCTCTCTCCCTCTCTCCTCCTCTCTCTCTCTCTCTCTCTCTTTCTCTCCCTCTTCTCCCTCTCCCTTTCCCTCTCTCCCTCTCCTCCCTCTCCCATTCTCTCTCCCTCTCCCTCTGCCTCTGCCTCTATAATTCTGCCTTTCAAATAAATAAATAAATAAATAAATAAATCTTTTTTTAAAAAAAAGCACTAGGTTTAACTTCACCCCAGTTAGAATTGCTTTCATACAAAAATCAACAAATAACAAAAGGCAAGGATGTGGGGAAATCCACCATTTGTGGGAATATAAACTGTCCAGTCATTGTGGAAGACAGTGTGGAAATACCTCAGAAATCTGAATATAGACCTACCATATGACTCAGCCATCCCATTCCTAGGAATTTACCCAAGGGAAATGAAATCAGCACATGAAAATGTTATGTGTACCCCCATGTTCATTGTAGCTCAATTCACAATAGCCAAGATATGGAATCAACCAAGACATGCATGAGCTAGAGACTGGATAAAGAAAGTATGGTATGCATACACTATGGAATACTACTCAACAGTAAAAAAAATAAATTCTTGTCATTTGCAGCAAAATGGATGCAACTGGAAACCACTATACTTAGTGAAATAAGCCAGTGCCAAAAAGACAAATAGCGTATGTTCTCCCTGATTTGTGTTAACTGACAGAGTACCTAAAAGGTAATCTATGGAAGTGAAATTGACACTTTGGGATGCAATCATTTTGAAGAGCTCTTGTCTCAATTGTTGAAAAACAGGTTTTTCTTTTTTCTTCATACTATTTGTGAACTATTTACTTAGTGTAGGGTTAATCTTATGAGTATTTAGTTAACTTAAACTAGATCTTTGTGAAAAGTAAGAATGGGAATAGGAGAGGGAAGAGGAAGAATTGCGGGGGTGCAGGTGGGAAGAATCACTAGGTTCCTAAATTTGTGTATATGAAATGTATGAAGTTTGTATACCTTAAATAAAAGGTTCCTAGGTTCAAAAATGAATAATAATGAAAAAAGAAACAAGAATCCAGCCCCAAGGATAAATCCTCTAACTCCTGTATATTGGGAGTAATAGATGCCAGAAGATATTTAGAAGTCCTCTAAATAACTGCAACCAGAATTAACATTTATTTGCCATTTATTATGAAGCACGGACATAAACATTTTAAACACATTGCCTTATTAAATTCTATCAACTTATGAACCAGGAACCATCATTTCACTCATTTTGTAAATGAGGAAGCACATTCAGACTAGTTTAGTGGGTTGTTTCAATCTCACAGCTAACTAACTGGCAGATCCCACTTCCCAATGCATGCCTCTGTGCTGTACTGTGTCGGCAATACAACGGTAAAAGTGGTGTAGACAGCCACAATTTGCCAAAGCCAGATTAACGAGTCCATTTCTTGACACTATTGGGCAATTTTTCTAGCAAATGTAAATTAAAGCCACCTTATAAAAATAACAAACTCAATAATTTCGTCTTGAGTATATTTATGATGTTTATTTAAGCATTATATATGAGCATATTATACATGATTTCAGGTGTGCTAGGTACATCCATAAGAGATTATTATTCCAAGGTTCAGTGTAAATGTGTTGCAGAGGATATGGGCTCTAGTTATTTCCATTATAAAGAGTTCTTGCCCTGTAGTCTTCAGGTCAATAAGCCCTGCAGCTGTATCAATACTGTTCTGGTTGGCTTGGTACCAAGCACTTTGCCCATGTACTGCAGTGTGCTGGCATGCCCCCCTGCAGGTATGTGCAAAGTGGTGGAATTCCGTGTGCTCCTTATGTCTACCCACCCCCCAGCCATGGTTAGGTGGGCTGGATGGCCCTGCACGGGGCCCCTAACACTCCCAGACTTCAGTGTATCTGTTAATATAGCGCTGGGCAGCACAGAGGAGTGGAGGAATCAGTTGCTCTGTCCATAGAATATTCTGCCGAGCAGAATCTGGTCTTTGTCTTCCACATTTTCTTCCTAGTTTCCTGTGCCATACAGTCTTACCTTCGAGTAACAAGAGAAATATGACCATGTTCCTTTAAGTCGATGTAGATGTAAACGCTCCTGGCTGCTGAAGATACGGCCCATACACTGAATACCTTCTTCAGGAAAAGGAGCATTTGAACACTACAAAAATTGCCCTCAGGATCCAGGTGATGAGTTCGCAATGTAACAGAATTGTCTGTTGGTTGTAAGGGTGTATACTAGTGTTGATATACCATGCATTGCTGTAAAATGCTTTTGGAAATCTTGAAAGACCCCTACCTCATGGTCTCTTAGTATGAACTACTATTATGAGAACACTTCACCTTTGCTTTATAAATGACAGGGTAAAAAGTCCAAACCACTCAGATCAAGCCAGATTCAACAATTAAAACTTCATCAGACTGAAAGACTGAAAATGTATTTCATAAGTTCTAGAGCCAGGAGTTCAAGCTTACCGCCCACTGGGCACAGAGCCAGCCTGTCACTGAGCTTCGGGGAAAAGAAGATTTAACGCGTTGCTGCCAACACGAAGAACTGGGTAAACCCTATCTCTGTTTTCCTGACCGGGAGTCTGGGAAGTTTTATGGACTCAGAAAAAAAGTAGTTGGGAAGTGGACGCATCAACAGCGTAATCCGCGATTGGACAGCGAAAGAATCTGTACCAGGAACTGACAAGTGGGCGGATGTCGTCATCTCCGGGCTCCTCACGTCATAAAGCTTCCGTTTCTCCTGTTTCCGTTCCTCCTCCAGTTTTTGAATCTGGGCAGGGGTGGAGCAGGTGTTTGTGGGGGAAGGGGTACGACTTTGGTTCCGGTGTCATCTGTAGCTAGCAGGCGTCTATTTGCCTTTGCTGGTCAGTCTCCGCCTGGTTGGAATTGCTGTAGACCAGCTTGGTGGTTAAGCCTGAAAAAAAAAAAAAAACGCTTTTAAAAAAAAGTAATGCAGCAACCTGCCTTCTGTGGCTGGAACCTGTTGTTAGAGAATAAGGTCAGAAGGAAAAAGCAGGGGGCTTCTGAGTTTCAGGGGTGTTGGGAGGAGACCAAATGCAGGGGGCACCTGGTCTCAATCTCAAGGGTAAAAAGAATTTCCTCATTTTTCAGATTTGGAAATTAGGATTTAGAGACAGTAAATGAATTCACATAAAAAAAAATTCCAGGGGCTGGTGTTGTGGTGCAGCAGGTTAAGCCACCACCTGCAACACTGACATCCCATGAATGCACTTCAAGTCTCAGCTGCTTCACTTCTTTATTATTATTATTATTATTATTATTATTATTATTATTTGACAGGCAGAGTGGACAGTGAGAGAGAGAGACAGAGAGAAAGGTCTTCCTTTTGCCGTTGGTTCACCCTCCAATGGCCACTGCGGCCGGCGTGCTGCAGCCGGCGCACCGCGCTGATCCGAAGCCAGGAGCCAGGTGCCAGGTGCTTCTCCTGGTCTCCCATGGGGTGCAGGGCCCAAGCACTTGGGCCATCCTCCACTGCACTCCCTGGCCACAGCAGAGAGCTGGCCTGGAAGAGGGGCAACCGGGACAGAATCCGGCGCCCCGACCGGGACTAGAACCTGGTGTGCCGGCGCCACAAGGCAGAGGATTAGCCTAGTGAGCCATGGCGCAGGCCTGCTTCACTTCTGATCCAGCTCTCTGCTAATGCACCTGGGAAAGAAACAGAAGATGTCCCAAGGTCTTGGGCCCCTGCTTGCCACCTGGAAGACCCTGATGGTGTTCCAGACTCCTGGCTCTGCTAGCCTGGCCCAGCCTTGGCAGTTGCAGCCATCTGGGGAATGAACAAGTGGTTGGAAGATCTCTCCCCCTCCACCTCTTTCTGTAACTGTGCCTTTCAAATAAATGAAACAAATAAATCTTAGAAAAAAATCTGAGAGAAATTTGCAGGCTCAAGATCACTTTAATTCATCAAAATAAAAATGGCTGGAGGAAAGGGATGTGAATTTAGACATTCGCTTTATAGCCTGATTCACATGAGGCCTTTTAGGATGGCAAAGCTCTTCCTGGCTTCCTTGTCTGTGCCACTCATTTGTCTATAGCTCTAGGTATCCTTTTGTGCTGTGCAAAAGCATTAGGCTTTTATAATCTGTCAAAAATAAGAAATAAAAATCAACCACCCTTGTTATCTAAGGGCCTCTGAGACTTGAACATAAGCAGTGCTGGGCACTTGAATGACCAGAGTGTAAGATGATGGCTATCAGATAGAAAAATCAATTGCCTCTTTCCCCTCCCCAGAAAGTGCCCCTTAGGGAATAGACAAGTGCACACTGTAACTAGTTTATTACTTGGTGTGGTTCTTCCTAATGGCACACAGCACCGAAGCTGACAAGGTAACGAGCAGTCACTCATGCAAAGGTCACTTTCTCTGGCCCAGCAGCCTTTCACTTGGAAACACAATCTGAGTCTAATGTTGATTTGAAAAGAGAGGTTATTATACCACCCAGCTCCAGGCATCGGCTTTCTAAAGGCCTCTAAGTTGTGCTTCCTTTAAAAAATAAGCTCAAACCTGTGATATTTACGCTTTATTGCTTGACAGAAGAGCTGATGACGGTGGTTAGCCTAACTACTTTCATTGAGAAGTGGGAAAGGCATTTTGTGGCTCTGGGTATGAAGTCTGCTTCAGTTAGCATTCAGGAAAACAGGGACAGGGTTAGGGTCCTGGCTTCTTTTGAGTTCAGTTGTCCATGCAAGTAGAGAGGGAGGCAGGGTGGGGTAGGAAGGGTACCGCCCTGGACAGGATCAGCAGGGGTCACTGCGCAGAGAGGAGGGACCTCAGAACAGTGGGAGACTCTGGACAAGCTGGGCTCACCTGTACACCCAGAAGACACTAGAGTGAGCTGCGCTGCACTGGGCAGGAGGGCTAGAATACCAAAGACGGGAACGCTGACATTTATAACTTCGCAAGAGAACTCAACCTTGAGGATAAGCCCAAGCAACGGGGAAGCGGTATTTATATTTAAGGGTGGGATGACTGGGGCGGGTGCTGTGGCATAGCAGGTAAAGCCACCACCTATGACTACGGTGCTGGCATCCCACGTGTGCACAGGTTGGAGTTCTGCTGCTCCACTTCCGATCCAGATCCCTGCTAAGGTGCCAGGGAAAGCAGCAAAAGATGGTTCAAACCCTTGGGACCCTGCACCCATGTGGGAAAACTCGAAGAAGCTCTTGGCCCCCGGCTTCACCTGGCCCAGCCCCAGCTGTTGTGGCCATATGGGGAGTGAACCAGTGGATGGAAGATCTCTCTCTCTCTCTCTCTCTCTCTCTCTCTCTCCCCCCTTTCTCTCCTTCTCTGTCTCTGTAAACTCTGGCTATCAAATAAATAAATAAATATTTTAAAATAATTTAAAAGAGAAGATTAAAATCAATCTTGGGGGAGCACACTCATCCTTTTTCTAGCTATAAAGTAATATTAGTGATCTTGTCTACAGCCGGTTCCATTCCATTCATTTGGCATTGATTCAGGTTTGAGTCTTTGGAAGCCAATTAGTCCCACACTGGGTAATGCGGGTTATTACATAGGATAATGTTTTTCCTAATTATGTCCCCCTGTTTAATCTTTTACATTATCTATATTCACAAATTTCATAATCTATGATTGGATATATCTCCCACAATGGAGAGTCTTGAAAGTGACTCTTAAAATGTGGCCAGGCTGTTTATTTCATAATTCAGCCACATGACTTGTCAAGAGAAAATGACTTGGCTCAATCAATACATGTGCATGGTTTATGTGTGGAAACTTCACGCTCAGCAGATTATTCAGCATGTCCAGTAGTCCCTCTGGGGATTTGTCTTGATTATGTGAATACTCTTCAAAGGTGAGTTACTCAAGTTAGCTTGGATTTGTGTGCCGACTTGGTAATAACTCTACAGTGTATTAGCCATAATTCTTTCTGCTGGACAACCGCTGCTTGTCGCATAGCACAGCACTTCAACTTTATCTTGGAGCCATTGCCACTCTTAGCGCTACACCTCACCTACAGCATCATAGGCTGTTTTGAATCACATCAAGCTGAAATCAGAGCTGTAGTTTCTGCACCTCCATGAAGAAAATGTCTGAAGTTTCAAGCTAAAATGGGCAAAAGGAAAATTACAAATTAATTAAACCATAGTTTGGGAGGAAAGTTGCCACAATACAGCAGTTTTCAGGTTAGTATCTCTATTAATAGAGAAGATATCCAAATCAATAAGAAAAATATAAGACTGTGTTAATGTAGTACAAAGTATATAAAGAGGCCATTCTCTTTTGTTTTTTTAATTTTATTTATTTATTTGTTTTAAGAGTAGAATTACAGAGAGAGAGAAGGAGAGAAAGAGAGAGATCTTCCAACCACTGGTTCACTTCCCAAATGGTTGCAATAGCCAGGCCAAAATCAGGAGCCCAGAGCTTCTTCTAGGTCTCTCATGTGAGTACAGGGAGGGGCCCAGGGACTTGGACCATATTCTGCTGCTTTCCCAGGCACATTAGCAAGGAGCTGGATTGGAAGTAGAGCAACCAGGATGCGAAACAGTGCCCATATGGGATGCTGGCGCCACAGGCCATGGCTTAACCCACTGCACCACAGTACCAGCTCCGGAGATAATCCTTATAATAGTAAATATCGGCCAACGCCGTGGCTCACTTGGCTGATCCTCCGCCTGCAGCGCCAGCACCCCGGGTTCTAGTCCCAGTTGGGGTGCCAGATTCTGTCCCGGTTGCCCCTCTTCCAGGCCAGCTCTCTGCTGTGGCCCAGGAGTGGGGTGGAGGATGGCCCAAGTGCTTGGGCCCTGCACCCCATGGGAGACCAGGAGAAGCACCTGGCTCCTGGCTTTGGATAGGCGCAGCATGCCGGTCATGGCGGCCATTTGGGGGGTGAACCAACGGAAAAGGAAGACCTTTCTCTCTGTCTCTCTCTGTCTGTAACTCTCTCTCTGTCTCTCTCTCTCTAACTCTGCCTGTCAAAATAAATAAATAAATAAACTGGTCAAATAGTAAATATTGTTAGTATTCAAACCTGGAGAAATGTTTAATCCTTCCAGTACTATAATGAAGATGACTTTTACAAAGAAAGCATTGCTTTTTCCTTTTAAAATAGTGAAGAATTGGGGCTGGTACTGTGGTGTAGTGGATAAAGCCGCCACTTGCAGTGCTGGCATCCCATATGGGCGCCGGTTCAAGTCCTGGTAGCTCCACTTCCTATCCAGCGCTCTGCTATGGCCTGGGAAAGCAGTAGAAGATGGCTCAAGTCCTTGGGAACCTGCACCTATGTGGAAGACCTAGAAGAAGCTCCTGGTTCCTGGCTATTGGAGAGTGAGCCAGTGGATGGAGGACCTCGCTCTCTCTCTGCCTCTCCTTCTCTCTCTCTGTGTAACTCTGACTTTCAAATAAATAAATAGTCTTGAAAGTATATAAAATAGTGAAGAATTAAGCAAAATTAATATAGCCAGTTCTATGGCGTTATAGAGTCTGACATCCTGATGTAGAACAATCACATCTTAATTGGTTCATTTTGATCTAATGGATGTTAATAATCTTACATATGGAAAGATTCCTTTTGTGCACAGAGATATTCATTACAATTATTTTCACTAATAAAAATATCAGTAATAGGGAAATGTTGAACAAATTATATATTACATAACCACACAAGCAGTGCACTCATGGAGACTTGGCACTGAAACATATGTATACATTTCTGGTCAGTTTTAAGAGTTTGAGTTATGTGAAAAATTGCTCTTTTACCTCACATACATTAAAATATCACTTAAAATAATTTTATGCCCAAACGTTCAATATATAGGCATCCCTCAGTATCAATGGGGTATTGGATCCTGGCTCCCACTCGGTGTAACAAAATCCATAGATGCTCAATCCCTTTTTTTCCCTCAATTCCCTTATACTCATAAAAAGGCATGGTATTTGTATTTAACCTGTGTGTGGTAGGTATATGTACCCATATACTTTATGCTCCCATATACTTTAAATGTCTAGCTTACTTGCAATATTTAATACAATGTAAATAGTATGTAAATATTTGTTATACTGTATTTTTGGTATAATAATTACAAGCAAAATAATGTTTCTACAGGCACATTTTTCCCCAAATATTTTGATTTGAGGTTGATTGAACTCATAGATATGGTGAACTGATTCTACATGTAGTAATTAAAATTCCAGAAAAGAGAGAGAGATAAAAGAGCAGAACAAATATTTGAAGACATAATTGCTGAAAACTTCCTAAAGATGTACAAGGACACTTTTAAGGGGGAGGGAGACATTATGTATTTTCAGTGTAATCGTGGTTTCTGGGTATATATTGGATATAAGTTGTATTTCAATAAAGTATATAACTAAAAAGATTTTAAATCTATAAATCATTTCAACTTTAAAAAAAAAGTTCAGGGGCACAACTCAAACAGTCTAAATACAGACAAAAGAGCAACATTCAAATTGAGAAACAGATCTAGGAAACCCACTGAGAATTCCATAGCAAGATAAAAAGACAGAATATATGAATGAGATAGTAGGAGACATGATGGGTAGCAAGATCAGGTCCAATATGAAGTTGCAAGCACAGGGAGAATGGGGAGACACAATATCCAAATTAAAAAATGGCTTGGATTCTCTAATTATAAAGAGATATGTGGCCAGCGCTGCGGCTCACTAGGCTAATCCTCTGCCTGTGGCGCCAGCACCCCGGGATCTAGTCCCGGTTGGGGCGCCGGATTCTGTCCCGGTTGCTCCTCATCCAGGCCAGCTCTCTGCTGTGGCCTGGGAGTGCGGTGGAGGATGGCCCAAGTGCTTGGGCCCTGCACCCTCATGGGAGACCAGGAGGAAGCACCTGGCTCCTGGCTTCAACACACCAGCCGTAGCGGCCACTTGGGGGGTGAACCAACGGAAAAAGGAAGACCTTTCTCTGTCTCTCTCTCTCACTGTCTAACTCTGCCTGTCAAAAAATAAAAACTAAACAAAAATAAATAAAAAAATAAAGAGTTATGTAGTCTTTAAGATTATTTCTGCAAGGCAGATTGATAGAGCTAGAGGGAGAGACATTTAGAGACAGAGAGCTCTTCTACAAACTGATTCACTCCCCGGATGTCCAGACCAAAGCCGGAGCCAGGAACTCCAACCAGGTCTCTCATGTGGGTGGCAGGGACCCAAGTACTTAAACCATTATGTGTTGCTCTCCCAGGTGCATTAATAGGCAGCTGGATCACAGCAGATTAGCTGGGACTCAAACCAGCTGGCCCTGCAATCTAGGATGCCCGAAGTGCTTAGCCTACTGAACCCACAACACTCACCTCAAGACATCAGCTTAAATGGAAGGAGTATTCCTAGTCCTGAGAAGAGCAGGCAATTCAATGTGCAGCTAACGACATGGTAGTGAAGCTGCACAAGGATCCTGGAACTCCATCTGGGTCTCGGAGCTCAAGGACTTGGACCATCTTCTGCTCGTTTCCTACCTGCATTAGCAGGGGTCTGTATTGAAAACAGAGCAGCCAGGATGTGAACCAGTACTCCAACCCGGGATGCCAATGTCGCAAGTGGCAGCTCAACTCACTGCACCACAATATCAACCCTGCAACTGAAAATATTATAACCACTGAGAAAGGATGGGCATTTAGCCTAGGGGTTAAGATACGTGTGTCCCACTTTGGAGTGCCTGGGTTGGATTCTCAGAATGGATATTGAGTATAATTAAGTACACTTTTCATATCTAAGAAGATGGTCATAATTTTTCCATTTTGATTTATTAGCATGGTAATTATATTAATAGCTTTTCCTGATGTTGAGTTATTCTTGTACTTCTAGATAAAATGCCACTTAATCATGATTTATTGTTCATTTAATGTGCTGCTGAATTCTGTTCATTAATGTTTTGTTTAGATTTATTACATAGATATTCAAAGAAAGATTAGTCTGCACCTTTTCTTTCTTTCTTATCAAATTTAGCTTCTGTGGTCAATATTTTCTCATTTTATGAAAAGAATTTGGAAGTTTTCTCCTTTCTCTATGTTCTATAACAACTCAGAGAGCATTGGAACAACCTGTTCTTTAGGTGCTAAGTAGAATTCTCCTGTGAGACCATCTGAACTTGATGGTTTGGGAGTTGTTTTTTGACAACACTCCATACTTTTTCCCTGGTAATTTCTCAGTTTGTGTTTTCAAATCTTATCTGAGGCCACTTCTGGTAATTCAATTTTTCTCCCATGAACTCAATCACTTCATCAAGATAGTTAAAGATGGATAGATAAATTCATAGATATTATATACAACTATATACACCTAATTTCAAACTTAAAGAAAAGTTGCAATATGACACACACAGTTTATTTTTCTGAACTAGTTCAAAGTAATCTGTGGATATGCTGCACCTCTCATCGCCAACTATTAGTATAATTTTCCAACAAGGAAAGTCTCCCTTATAATCACAATACAGAAATTGAATTCAGACTTCTAACATTGGTATTTGACTACTGTCTTCGCTCCATTTAGGTTTTACCAGTGGAACCAATAATGTCCTTCAGAGTACACATATCTATTTCAGAACTGAGTGTGCCCTTTAGTTACCGCCTCCCTTTTATGTCCATCAGTGTGGAAGGGGACTCGTGCTCTGCCAGATGCCCAGGATCTTGACCCTCTAATTCACCGAAGGTCAGCTATTTTGTGGACTCTCCTTCAGTCAAGGTCTGGCTAATGTTTCCTCATGCTTAGATTCTAATTAAATGTCTTTGACAGGAATATCACAGAAGTGATAGAAAAACATTTTTTGATGTGTTTAAATGTATCATTCTTTTTTTAAAAAAATTGTCTCTGGATTTGAGTCACAATTAGAAAGCTATTCCCCACACTAAGATTCAAGAGATGTTCACCCATGTTTTCTTTTTTTTTTTAATTTTTTTGACAGGCAGAGTGGACAATGAGAGAGAGACAGAGAGAGAGGTCTTCCTTTGCCGTTGGTTCACCCTCCAATGGCCGCCAAGGCCGGCGCACTGTGGCCGGGGCACTGCGCTGATCCGATGGCAGGAGCCAGGTACTTATCCTGGTCTCCCATGGGGTGCAGGGCTCAAGCACTTGGGTCATCCTCCACTGCACTCCCGGGCCACAGCAGAGAGCTGGCCTGGAAGAGGGGCAACCGGGACAGAATCCTGCGCCCCGACCGGGACTAGAACCTGGTGTGCGGCGCCGCAAGGCGGAGGATTAGCCTAGTGAGCCGCGGCGCCAGCTCCATGTTTTCCTTTTATATTTAAACTATTAGAATTTTACATTGAGATTTCTGAGGAATCTGGAGTTTCCTATATATGTTGTGAGATCTAATTTTACACTTTCCCAAATGACTACCACGTACAACTTTTTTTAAAACAGGTAGAGTTATAGACAGTGAGAGAGAGACAGAGAGAAAGGTCTTCCTTCCATTGGTCACTCCCCAAATGGGCGCCAAGGCCTGGCACTGCGCCGATCCGAAGCCAGGAGCCAGGTCCTTCTTCTTGGTCTCCCATGCAGGTGCAGGGGCCCAAGCACTTGGGCCATCCTTCATTGCCCTCCCGGGCCACAGCAGAGAGCTAGACTGGAAGAGGAGCAACCGGGACTAGAACCCAGTGCCAATATGGGATGCCGGTGCTGCAGGCGAAGGATTAACCAAGTGAGCCACGGCGCCAGCCCCAAATACATCTTTTTTTAAGATATATATATATAATACATAATATATTTATATATATTTATGTAACATATATATAATTTCTCATTTGAAAGGCAGAATTAGCAGGGAGTTGGAATAGAAGTGGAATAGCCAGGTCTTGAACTGGCGCCCATAAGGGATGCCAATATTGCACGATGCGGCTTCACCTGCCATACCACAAGGCCAGCTCCACCAAGTACATCTTGGACTCAGTGATTTGAGATGCCACCTTGACCACATACTGAATGTCTGTATGGCCTTGGATCTCTCCAGACTTTCTAAACTATTCCAGTTAGCTGTCTGTCTCTTCATGCACCAGAACCACTTGCTCTAATTATTGAGGCTTTGCAAGATGTTTTCATGCCTGGTAAGAGTAGTTTTCCCTTATGGCTTTTCTTTTTAGTGTTTCTTTTTTTTCCTGTCAATTTCTGTGTGTTTGTTTTTCTGTCTGAACTTTAATGTCAGCTTCTCTCACTTCGTATCAAAGATTGTTGGTGCCTGCATTGGGACTGAATTAAATTAATAGATTCACTTAGGGAGTATGTCATCTGCTCTTCTATTCAAGAATAAAGGACTACTTTGCATTTGTTCTAGTCCATCTTTGTGTCCTTCAGGAGTGTGTTAAAGTTTATGTCTTATGGGTTTTGGAGATTGCTTGTTAACTTTCTTCTCAAATATTTGTTGCTGTTATAAGTGGATATTTTTTCTCTACCGCTATGTAGAAGACTTTATTTTGAAGCTAGACAAACCTACCCCCACCTCCACAACTCCCCCTATTTTTTCCTGCACATAATATGTTGTTTACTCCATTAGCTGTATCTCCACATGCATCCACTCATCTATTCTTTCAACAAATTAAAGACTCGCGTATGCCAAGCCTGGTGCCACCACAGATGGTCTCTGTAGGCATGCCATGCATGCTGTGGTCTGTGGCCCTGTGCAGAGGCCCTGCCAGGAAGCCCACAGTGCCATCTCTATTAAATATACAAAAAGGACATAGAATGATCTACAGAGGACGATTTGTCATAGCCTGAGTCTGGCAATGTCTGATAAACATTCGTCCATTTGTACTTTGAGCCATTGTATAGTCACATACGTGGCTATCTTGAAAAGGAAGGATCTTCAGAATGTTTGGAAAATGTGTGTTATGAATAGAACAAAACCTATGCATGACTTTTTCTTTGCACCAGAACATTCTTTTTTAATTTTATTGTTCCACGGACTTTTTGAAGCAGCCTTGGATAGGGCTTTGCACAACCATCTTGCTTCATCCATGTCCCTGTTTGGGAGGACCCAGGTCTCAATTATTTGTGGAAGAAAAGAGCTTGGCTCCTAGGAGATGCTCAATAAATGGCTAATGAATCAGTGGGTGTGTCCATCACAGACTTGACTCCATGTAAGACGGGGCATTGCCTTTTCTTGTGGTTTTAGTTTCTATCTCTTACAAATCCAAAATTGAGGGTTCTTTTCCTCAGAGTAAGAAGAGAATGTAGTATTCTGGGCTTAGTACACTATAAGTTGTTGTTTTGGGGAGATTTCCTTGAATTCATTTGTATGGAATGGCCACTCTTCCATGATTGTTAGTCCCTCCAAGGGCCCCTCCTTCCACACCACAAAATACCAAAGCCACTGGACGCCTTATGAGCACTTCTCAGGTTTCCAGATGTCACTGCTCATGGATCTGAGTCACTATAGAAATTCCTCTAGCGCAAAGAAGGATCTCTCTCTGGGCAAGTGAGCCAGGGATTTTTATAAATTGAGCATAATTTTAGGGCTGGCACTGTGGCTGCCTGCAACACCAGCATCATCCTACGTGGGCACCAGTTTGAGTGCTAGCTGCTCCACTTTCAATCCAGCTCCTTGCTAATATGCCTGGGAGAGCAGTGAAAAAATGGCCAAAGTACTTGGCCTCTGAACCCACGTGGGAGACCCAGATGAGGTTTCATGCTCCTGGTTCCTGCCTGGTCCAGCCCAGTTGCAGGCATTTGGAGAATGAACCAATGGATGGAAGATTCTCTCTCTCTCTCTCTCTCTCTCTCTTTCTCTCTCTTTTTCTCCCTCTCTCCCTCCCTCCCTCCTTCTCAGTAACTCTACCTTTTACATAAATTAATTAAATAAATATTTGAAAAAAAAAAAACAAAAACAGGAACTTTCAGCTGAAAGCCCTTGAACTGAACTGAATTTAGCCACATTTTCTCATTCTAGTTTTCACTCCCTCTAAAACCTTAAGTTGAGCTCAGAGGAATTTTTAAGGCTTCAGAATAGAGGTTTTTCTTGCAGGCAGAGTTGTTCCTTCTATTCTAAGAGCCATTCATCAGTAAATCTCTTCACAAATGCTGAAAAGAAATGCTTCATACCTTTTACATGTACATAACGCTTTTCTTCCAGGACTCCTTCGGTAGTAAACAAACAAAGGGGTATCCTTAGAAATGTTTGTGGGAGGAAGGAAATGTTACCACTGAATCTCTCTTCCCCCAGAGAACATAAGACATCCAAAGGTGAAGCAAGAAATGTCAGAGGTAAAGGAAAGATCTGCAGATGGTCTGATCGAAGCCGGCTCTCAAGTAAGCGCCATCAGCTTTTCTCAAGCAACATCGGAAAGGGCATCAGCTTCCGTTGGGCTTAGGTTTTCGGAGGGTGGGGGTGGAACCTGTGAGGGAGGGGGGCTGTGTGACGACTAAGAAGAGCTCGTTCAGCCAGGCTAAGCAGGTGCTGGGCCCTAGGCTGATGGGGGAAGCTGTGGCTTCTCATGAAACATATGGAAGGGACATCACCATGGTAACTGGAGACAAGGAAGGAGGGGGCAGCATTCCACCTGTGCTGTGAGAAAATGCCCTTGAAGTGGGGAGACGGGCAACTCCTACGCAAAAACAGTGGGAGATATGCCACTAGTGGCCAGAGCCAAGCTGATGAGAACTACAGAGTGGCCCTTATGCTAGCTTTGGCTCTAAAAAAATACAAGTTGTTGACTCCTATCCTATGCCAAAAAGGGTTGTTTAAGATATGTCACTTGCCAGTCTGTGGGGATGAACCTTTGTCCTAATAATTCAGGAGAGAATACTACAACTTAACTTTTCTAAATCACTGGCATCTCTATTTATATGATTATTACCATTAAGCCATGGCAGTTATCTCCAAATAGTAGGGTCCAAGTTTCCTATCATTTATTAGAAAAAATGGTGGACAAGTAACATGTGATCCCAACTTGAACAATGCATGTCTACGTATAGAATCATTCCCACACCACTGTTTGTACTAAATATACATTTTTAGTTCAACATGTGTGGTGTCAAGGTGGGTGAAAAGATCATTCCCTACCGCCTAAGCTATTTTAAATGTTTCTGTGTTTCAAAATGTAGCTCAGACTTTTCCTTAGATTCGGGTCATCATGAGAATTCTTGAAAATCCACAATATGAGATTCTTTTTACTCTTGAGAGTCTTGCCCAGTCTGTCATCACCAAAGGGCTAAAGTTGTTTAAAGTTCTTGTTTTTTAATTGCCTGGGAGTCTATATTAAGTCTTGATAGTGACAATAAAGGTTATTATTATCACCTTAATATTAAAATCGGGGTCACTAATATTAAGCTTCTATTGATACTTTTGGTTAACTGAAGAATAGTACACTAGTTGTACTTTAAATTACCGCTATTACGGGGCGGCATTGCAGTGTAACAGGTGAAACCGCAGCTTGCAATGCCAGCATCTCACATGAGTGCCAGTTTGCATCCCAGCTGCTCCACTTCCAATCCAGCTCTCTGCTAATGGCCTGCCAAATGCCAAGGAAGATGACCCAAGTGCTTGGGTCCCTGCTACCCACACGGGAGAACCAGAAGAAGCTCTTGGCTCCTGGCTTCCGCCTGGCCCAGTCCTGGCCAATCCCTGGCCATTGTGGCCATCTGGGGAATGAACCGGAGGATGGAAGATCTCTCTCTCTCTCTCTCTCTCTCTCTGTCTTTCTCTCTCTCTCTCTCTCTCTCTGTGTGTGTGTGTGTGTGTGTGTGTCTTTCCCTCTCTCTCTGTAATTCTGACTTTCAAATAAATAAATAAATCTCTTTAAAAAATACTTCTTTTGGGGCCAGCACTGTAGTGCAGTAGGTTAATCCTCCACCTGCAGCGCCAGCATCTATATGGGTGCCAGTTCTAGTCCCAGCTGCTCCTCTTCCAATACAGCTCCCTGTTAATGGCCTGGGAAAGCAGTAGAAGATGCTCCAAGTCCTTGGGCCCCTACACCCACATGGGAGACCATGAAGAAGCACCTGGATCCTGGCTTCAGATCAGCGCAGCTCCGGCCATTGTGGCCATTTAGGGAGTGAACCAACAGACAGAAGACCTTTCTTTCTGTCTCTCCCTCTCACTGTTTGTAACTCTACCTCTCAAATAAATAAAAATACAAATCTTTAAAAAATACTTCTTTTAAATTATTGAAATCATTCTTTTGAATTTCCTGTGGCACTAAAACTTATGACATCACTGGGTAACATATCACAGGAAGAAATATGGTTGACTTTGTTGAGATAAATTTGACTTGATTGTTTTAAGGACTGTCTAGCAATAATATGAATGAATCTTCTTTAATAAAAACAAAAGTGCCACAAATTTAAAATAAGCTTCATAAGGGATTTGAAAGTACCTTTCCTTCTAACTTAAAAACATGTACAAAATGCAAGATAATCCAAAAAAATTCTGTCTTGCACCTCTTTGGTAATGATGGGTCAGTCAAAACTGTTCAGGGTCCAGCTGGCTAAATTCATGTGATTCTGCCCAGCAACTCTGGTGTTCCACAACACATCGGATTGCTTCTGTTCCACACCATGTAGCCCATACTCGTGGTGGTGGGAACTGGCTACAATCTCCTGTACAACTTGAGGGATTCAGCTTGTGACTTAAGTTCAATCTAACTGCCCTGGTACAGCTGGCACCTCTATGATCAACAATAAAAAACAAGCGTGCTCTCTTGTAATAAATACTAGCAAAGGGTGTGCATATTTCTGTTCTTGAGACTACTTTTGTCAGTTTAATCTCATTTTGTTTCCAACATTCATTCATCTCTGGTTCTGCATCTGAGCCAAGAATTACTTTATCTAATTAACCGTGGGGACTGGGAAGAAGTCTTCCATATATCTTAATATTCAATTCGAATGCATTCATTCGAAGGAAAGAATTCCATAACCTAAAGCAAATTGCCTCAAATGGGAATGGTCAAAACAAAAATGTTAATGCCCAAATAGAATTTAGTGTGTTACATAAGCATGTTGCCATCATCTAACATTAAAACTAATCAGTGTGCATCAGAAGCAATAACAAAAGCCAGCATTCTGCCTCATTGTTCTCCTGTGAAGCATGAATAACTCATGAGTCAGGTAAGCTTATCATTTTCATTATTCAAATCATATCTCATTGGAGCACTTCAGCCACACTAGAACTGAGATTTTCTGATGTCATCTGTGGATCTGTCTCTCATGTAGAGTATGACCAGGCCTATGGGACAAACCAAGATACCAAGGCCTGGCTCTGCAGCTTCCAAGCCACACCCTTCTCTCATCTAGCCTTGTCCCTCCCACATTCTCCAATACTCTCCCTGGATTCAAATGTTTTCTCATGCAAAGATGTCTGATTCTCATCTCCTCTTTCCAGAAAGCAGCCTATAGTGGAAAATTAAAATTATCCTCTTTCATAGCTGAAAACTCTTCTTTAAATAGCACCTTTTACTTCACAATAAGTGCTGCCATAAAGCGTGCCACCAGTTTTTCATCCATCATGTAAATTCATTCAGCAAACATTTATTGAGTTCCTACTGTGGGTGATGTGTTAAAGATAGAAAGAATTAAACTCTGCCTTCAAAGAGGTGACAGATGAAGTGGACAGAATCTTAAAATACCAGTGGTAAGAGACACATCCCACATAGACAGCAGATGTGGAGAAGTTTCCCCAGAGAGAGCACCATGTTCTTGACGCATGAGTAGAGTCTCAAGGAGATTGCAAAGGAGAGACAATGAGGAAAATAACTCTAGGGGGAAGCACATACATCTGTGATGCTGGACTGCTGCGAAGAGGCACAGTCATCTTAGGATAGGGACTACGAACTCCAGGGTCTCCGGGCTCCAAGGATAAGATGTGCTGTGTGCAGGGCAGGAAGAACTGGTGGTTGTTGAGCTGACTAGAGCATGCTGGCATTTTGGAAGACACTGACCTGAGGTAGCCACAAGGCTTCTCATAAGAACTCAGAAATCTGGATTTTCATGTAATATCTTGGAAAATTTTCAAAATTTGCAACTAAATTTTTAAGTTACCAATCTATAGACCAAGTAAAACATGTCTTCTGTGGTGGGGTGATTAATGACTTACTAGAAGGCATTCAGGCCCTAAGCCCTGGCACCTGTGAGGTTGTTACCTTATTCGGAAAAAGGATTTTGCAGCTGTGATGGAGGACAAGGATACTGGTTGGGGACAGCATCCTGGATTATCCGAGTGGGTCCTAAATGTGAACAAAAGTAAGAGGAAGGCAAAGGGCAATTTGGCTACGAAAGAGAAACAGGTGTGACATGGAAACAGAAGGCTGGACCAATTCAAGGAGGGGTTCAGGAACCAAGGAATGCAGGCAGACTCTTGATGCTAGGAAAGCCCAGAAAATGGATTTTCCTCTGAACCTCAAGAAGGAACTAGCCTTGCTAACTCCTTGATGTTAGCTCCATGACACGACTTTGAATTTGTGGCTTCCAAAAATGTAAAGAACAAATTTGTGCTGTTTTTTAAGCCACCAAGTTTGTGGCCATTTGTTACTGCAACCATAGGAAACTAACACACCCTCTGACCTGACTCAGCCCTTGAGTTGTTGGCTTGCAGTCCCTGCCTTGAGGCATGGCTAGAGCTCTGTGCGTTTGCATGCCTAGGTGGAGAATGGCTAGAATTAGATTAGACAGGAGAGCCCAGACTAGTCTCCTCTGTTATTTCTGTTATCCCATTTTGCAAAACGCTTCTTGATTGGGATTCTTCCCTGATAGATTATGTTTCTTGAGCACAGAGACTGTGTCTTATTTGCTTATGTCTTCAAGGCACAGCCGAATGCCTGGCACACATTCTTTGCTTAATAAATGGATGAAAGGCAAAGTAAAAAGTTTGAAGTCAAATCACTAAGGGCTCATTATCCCCATGTCAAGGAATTTGAATTTTGTCCTGATGGGCATGGGGAACAAATGAAGTATTTAAAGTAAATTTTAAGTAAAAAATATTCTTTTTTAAAGATTTTTCATTTATTTATTTGAGAGGCAGAGTTACAGACAGTGAGAGGGAGAGACAGAAAGAAAGGTCTTCCTTCCGTTGGTACACTCCCCAAATGGATGCAACGGCCAGTGCTGCGCCGATCCGAAACCAGGAGCCAGGTGCTTCTTCCTGGTCTCCACGCGGGAGCAGGGGCCCAAGGACTTGGGCTACCTTCTACTGCTTTCCCAGGCCATAGCAGGGAACTGGTTGGGAAGAAGAGCAGCCGGGATTAGAGCCGGCGCCCATATGGGATGCCGGCGCTGCAGGAGGAGGATTAACCTACTGCACCACAGCTCCAGCCCCAGTAAAAAATATTCTAAGTATTTAAGGGCCTTAATAACAACTTAGAAGATAGTTTAGAAAATTACAGGTGAAACCAGTAGCTTGATTATCATATAAACCAGGACTAAGTGGGTGGCAGGAAATAAATAAGAAGACTGGGGCAAATGTTTGGAGCTGGGGTTATGTCACCACCCACTGGAGGCCTGTGCATCCCATATCAGAGAGTATGGCTTCCAGTCCCAGCTCTACTTCTTTTTT